GCACACAGGAGTAATGCTTTTCAGACAGGATTTACCCAAATTTTCCCGACACTGTGCACTTCTAGGATTGGGGTCACAGACTATATTATGTCTGTATGTTTTTCCCTCCAGGATTAATAGCAGTTACGGGGTGTGTGTGTGTGTGTGTGGTGTGGGGGGGGGGGAGGTTGGAAAAATGATACCGGGATAAAGGATGGTCCCTCCTCCTTCCTCACCTGCACCCTGTAGCACCTGTGCACTCTTGATATTTCTCCATCAGTTTTTGAGAAAAACTGCCCAAGATCTTGTTCATGAATCTTTATTGCTTTTTCCATCACCAATTTGGGACCAGGCAAGGTAGTTTATAAAAAGCTCAAGATATACAGAACAGTCAAAGAAAATTATAGTAGAGGATCAACAACAACACAGAAGAGAGATCTACTCTGTCATGATTATTTTGGCTATTACTGTCATGCTCTCAGAAATTCTAGCTTGACTCAATACCTCTTTCTTGCAATTGGCAGAGATACTATTTAGGGAAGTTGCATGAAGAAATTTTCTAACCGACACAAGCCTGACATCAGATATGACTTCCCATGGGAAGACAAGTCATCCTCTTAGGACAATATAACTGAGTTTGAAAGTGGTCAAGAGACACAAAGGAACTTGCAGGAGAGATTAGAGCAAAAGACCGAGTAGGACTTGATTTTTTTAAAAAAAATCTGCATCAGGAGCAACTGCAAAGTGAATGACTTGTTAAGCATATGATTGTCACTGCCACATTTCATTTCCTTCTGATGTTGGTTGTTTTTCTTACTGCAGCTGCCATCATATGTATTGTGTATGAACCAGAAACTCCATTATCACTTCATGCCTCTGATGAAGGAGACTATACAATAGTTTAGGAATTCTTATACCAAACAGGTTTCTTAGTCTTGAAGAAGAACTTTGTCAGATTAGATTAATAACACCTGGAGAAGTTTGTCAAGCGAAGCATCCATATTCTCCACAAAAGGTAGTTTTGAATTCTTTTAGAGGAAGTGTTTAAAAAGCTAAAGAATGGTAAAAATGGTATTGTTGTAAGCCGCCCCGAGGCTTCAGCGAATGGGGCGGCATAAAAATGTTTTAATAAATAAAATAAATAAAAAGGCAACCTAGGGTCCAATGCTATGTCCACTTTTGTAAAAGCAAGCCCCACGGAATTCAGTGCAGTTTCCTGGTCAGTAGACATTATAGGACTGTGCTGCACAAGGGGGCCAAGAAGCAGAACTGCATGGGAGCCAGGATCTTAAAATCAGCGAAACGACCTAGAGCCACTGGTACTGTCCCCCGAAAAGCCCAAAAAAGGAGAAGCAATGACAAGACTCCTAAAATGTTAATGCAAAATGTGACCTGTGCAAGAAGTCCTACAATGCGGAATCTCTCCTCTCCCAACCCCGTCTCAAAATCCCACTGGAGGCACTGGGCCACAGCAATGCCGTGTTGAGGACTCGGCCTCTTGCCTCGTCCCGCGTGCTCCAGGGACATGCGCGGACCCCGCCTCCTCCTCCGCCGCCGCCGCGCAGCCGAGACAAGCTGTCGCAGAACCCGATTCCGCCTCTTGGGGGCGCCCTCTTCCCAGCGGAGGCCGCGCGTTGCCCTGGGGCCGGGCGGTGAGTGTTCCCGGCCCCGCCGCCCCGCCTCCCTCCAAGGGCTCTGCCCGTCGTTCCCCACGGACTGGAACAAGGGAACTGTTGTGAACTTCGCAGTCGCAGCGGCCCAGCGGAGCGGCAAACTTTATCCTTCGGGAGCGCGCCAAGGTAAGGCTCCTGCGTGGATCGCGAGAGGCTGGCGCCGCCGTGGCGCAGCTGGGGGCGCCGGTGGGGTGTCCCGGCGGGGGACGCGATCTCCGGCTCCTGGTCTTCGCCCTCCCCTGGCGGAGATCCTCTCCTTTTCGGGCGGGTTCGTGCTGTTCTAACCGGGAGTTTGCAGCTCGGATTGTGTCCCGTTGCCGGGCTTTTCGCCTCCCTTTTGTTCGTGACGCTTCGGCAGCAGGTGCCGCGTTCAGCGACTCTCGCCAGGTGTCTGTCCTGGTTGGCTTTCGCAACAGTTTCATAGGTAGCCCCTGTTAAATGGCTTCGTTGCATTTTTGTAGGGCGGGTGCTGTGGCTCATGGCTCTTTGTCAGTCGTGGCCCTCCCGTCCCGCTCCAAGCTTCAATACAGGGAAGTAGGCCGTGCGGAGAAGGTGGCACTCTGTATATGCTCCAGAGTATTCCGATTATTTCACATATCCAGGATTTCAACAAGACGCTGAGAGATTTTGTAGTGGCGCCCAGGCAGAAAATTAAGCCTAGGGGATTTCTCGGAGGCTGCCAACTTCCACTTCGTAAAGTGATTTACATTCCCCGCTCCTGTAAACGATCTACAGGTGTTAATACAGGTACAAGGTAGGTGCAGCTTGTCTCATCTGAGACAAGAAGCACGTTAGCTATCTAGAACGACTTTACTAAGAACTTCGTTTCTTTTGACGTACTTTCTAATGAGTGCGGTCGTTACACTGTGGCTATTGGGGCAGGCTAGAAATCAAATCATAATAAACTTCACCTGTCCCGGCATGTGCCTTCTCTGTACCCCGAGATACTCTGCAGAGGCCGTTCTCTGAGTCCCCCCCCCCCCCATTTAACCAATGCCCTTTCCACAAATGACACCCCAGTGGTAGAATGGGGTCCCTTAGGGAGGCTCAATAGGTGTCATATTGGCTTCAGGCAGAAAGACTCTTTAAAATTGTAATGTTCTTTGCCTTTTAAATTTAATTTGATGCATTTTCTCTTGCTTGGGGTGTTTGCTTCTAGTGATTTTACTGCTTTTGGGGTACAATCTTAGATGTGAAAAAGCTGTTTCATTCAGCCATTCTGGGTGGGTACGACTTTCCCCCATCTAAACATGCACAAAATCACACCCTTTGTGTATTTTTGTACATTTTTAAGTTATGTGTTTTCAGTTTGGGTGTGTATATGGGTGTTGCTGTTTTGTCAGCTGCCCTGGGAAGGTTATTGGTTGGTGGCTGGCATGAGCCCCTGCGGATAAATGAGCACTTCTGAAGGCACCTCCTTGTGGACCATGAGAAGAGTTGACTTAAGTGAGGAAGGAGCGTCAGGGTGGGCAACGCACCGCGACAGAGGGAGTAAGAGCACGGCAGTCTTCTGGGGCATGTGGTGGGCCGAAGTGGATAGCAATTGAAGGATCCCTAAGCACAGTGAAACTTTACAGGAAAGTTTAAGAAGTCGGTGGAAAGTATAGCCCTTTAAGGAAATGGAGACGGCTGGTCAGAACATGCTGATAAAAACAGGGTGATGTAATGGGTGGGGCAAGTGCTGGGTCAACACCTCTGAAGTTGTGCTGCTGATACTCTCACATCTTGGGACTTTCTATGTCTTCTGAAAATGCTCCATTAATATTTTTATTCTCCTCCATAGCCAGCTCTTGGCATTCCTAGTTCCTTTACATCCCAGTCTGCTTTTGCTTTTCTAGTCCTCCATTTCTGCCTTACGTGTTTGCTAAAACATATACCCTGGTTTTCCCCTTTAAATGGAGACTTCCCGTCCTTTTTCCTGGTCCCATTCCTGGCTCTGCTGTTGCTCCTAATGTGTTCTGAATGATGGTGCAGTCCTATATACCAGCCATTCCCATCCTGGTGCCCCCCAGATGTGCTAGGCTACGATTCCTATCATTGCCATGACTTGCTGGCTGGGATGATTAAAATTGTCCAACACATCTGGGGGGTGCAAGGTTGGAGAAGACCACCTGGACCTGATGGCCCTTTTCCAATTGGCTCCTTCCAATTCTATTATTTTGTGATTCTTAAGTGTGCACTCAACAGGTCTTTCTTCTGAGCAGAGTATAGGCTTAAGCTGTGAACCTCCTCCAGGTCTTTCATATATGTGCCACCTGAAACCTGCCCTTACTTCCACTCCCTTTCCTGTCTTGGCAATATTTGCTTAATTTGTCACCATGCTTATTTTTAGAGGCAAAGAAATAGCAAATAGATAAGAAAGATATGTTATCTGTTTCTGCATTTTTGGTTGGCCTGTTGGTTATGAACATCTACTTTTTAGGCAACTGGCTTGATTTAATTGGTTAGAACAATAAATATCCATATCTAAAATTCTCAATTTAGATTTCTGTCAGATATAGCACTGTTTCATAGGACCTGCTGCTGCAGTTGTGGGTTACAGTGAATGACTTGCACAGCACAGACTGAGATTCTCACTGAAAGGGCTTAGATTCAAACCTGAAAAACAATGAAACTCTGAAACCTCTTTTAAGTTAACCTGCCACTTATTAAGTTTAAAGTTAGGGTTCGCACCAGGGATTGGGTTGCCAGTTAACCAGGAAAAAGAACTGGGCTGCTCCAGGGCCATTAACAGCAGCCTGATCCATAGAAATCAACAGGTGATTTATATTTTTTTTATAAAATGGAGATAACCATCATCACCCTCCCATATCACTAAAAAATGAGAGGGAGGTGTCAGTGTCCAAGATATGAAGAATGAGAAAAACTTCGGGAGGATAAAAGTACCCACTAACCTTCAAACGTGTCTTCTGGGGATGGAACAAAAAAGCAGGAGGAGAAGTGGAGTGAAGTCACTTGCAAGAAGACATAATTGGCTAGCTGGAGCTCTGAACAGGAGTACTTGATGCGGCAGCTCTTTGTTACATGGTCTCACTTGTTTATATCTCTGTAATAGTGTTGCTCTTAGAGGTACAGGTAATTGTCCATATATAATTTGGTATCCCTATCTGGATAATAAAAAGTGGGGATAGGAGAACAATGCTGGTTCCATGCATATTGGCTACAATGCTTTCATGTACATCCTACATATTACCAGTAAGAGCTCAACTACATTGAACACACCTCAGTAGGTATAGGTAGCTGGGTACTGAAAGTTCAGAAACCATGTGCTATGTAGGAGTTTCTGTGTACCAGCGCAGACCATAGGATTCTTTTGGCCCAGACTTGTCTTCTGTTCTAAGCAAAAACAGAAACAGAAAAAACAGAAAGAGTGGCAGCCTCTTTCCTTTGAACCCAGGATCTTTCGCATGCCGAGCAAATGCTTGGCCACCGTCCCAAGTCTCTCTCCTTCTGCAGGCATTTGCTTTGCTGCTAATTTGTAACACCTTCTCCCTGAAGCCAGGGCAGGGCATGTGACTGGTCCTTCCCAAGAGTGGTGCCTATTAGAAACCTGGCAACCTGTTTTGGTCCCACCAGCCCTTTTGCCTCCTAAATTTATTACTCCAAGGAAGTTCTCCAATCCAAACTGCAGGTGCAGCTCCAGTTTAAGCTGTTGAAATAAGGAATGGGGGACTTAAGTAGCCAACCTTTCACTCCTGGTTTCTTCTAGGGAAGAGCGTGACCTGGCTTTGAAATCAGCCTTCTCTAAGCTAGTGTTTTCCAGATGACAGGAGAACTACATCTGTAGTCCCACAGTTGCAATATATGTTGTATACCTTCCTGAACAGCTATACATTGAGACAGCATGTTGAGTCATCTTTGCTAAGCTGGAAAGGCTCTGGCCTGTAGCCAGGCTTTGAACTCAATGGCCTTATAGGCCCCTTCCAACTCCGTTCTTTTCTGTTCTATCTAGTCACCGTCCCAAGCCAGCATGGCCCTGACCTTTTCCAAGTTGGTGCTCTCCCTATGTGTTAGACTACAACTCCCAGCACCCAGTAAACAGGCCAGTGGGATGCTGAGACTTGTAATCCAGTTATGTCTAAGGTGTGTTAAATTGGGGGAAGGCCAACTCAGATTTTAAGTTAAAGAGCACTGCTTGCTAACAGCTTAACTGGGGGACTGTGTAGATGCACCCCCTGCTCTCACAGGCTGGTGAGGCAGAGAAATAAAATTCAAGATGAAAGCTATAATCCCCTATCCATTTATGTGGGGGAAAGGAACACCGCAGGGTTTACTTCTGAGCAAGCATGTACAGGCTTGCCCTGTGAGTGGCTCTGTTAGCTGAAGGCTGTCACAGAAAGTAAAAACACAAAGCAAGACTCAAAGATGAGTTTAAAAACAAACAAACAAACCCAGCCACTGTTCTCCATTTGAAGCATGAAGTTTGAGAGGGGAAGGAAAGAGGGCAAGCAGACCGCAGCAGGAACCCCAGGTCTTCGAATTGTGTCCAAGGCCTCGAGAGGTTTCTGTAGCATGGGGTTTCTTTAATGGCCCTGATTTGTTGCTTTCCTGGCATTAGTTCTAATCCCCATCCCACAGCTGCTTGCATAGCTGGAGAAGCGAGCAGAGCAAATGAGAAAACATGACGACTTTTCTATTCCAGTTTGTTCCTACTTGGCTGGGGTTGGAGGTTCCTTCCCTCAATTGGCATCTTTGTTCTTGAGCGAGTCAGATGTGTAGCAGGGGCTGCATGTGATGTGTTTGGGCTGAAATGTGGAATTGCTAAACCCTCTCCACTCCCAGGAATGTCCGTATGAAGCAGTGGAAAAAGCCTGACCAAGTTTCTGAAGGAAGACAGCATCATTGCCTTAACCTCACCCCACACCAGATCCGCCTTTTTAAAGTGTATTTTGAAAGAGTTTATGTAAGTCATACCCTGCCCAGAACGTTTTCCTTCAGGGCTAAACCAGGATGTCTGGCTTGCTTAATATCTAGAGCTGTTGCTTGAAAATAAAGACATTTACATTTTCTAAGTAGGAGGGCTCAAACTCTGGCCTAGTTAGTAGTGGCCTCAGAGGAAGCCGCTTGTCCTTCTGTCTCTTCCTGAGTAGGACAGTTGAAGGTTGTCTGTGGGTGAGAATGGAGCC